TGAAGATAGTACCTAGCAGTGTTTAGAATATAAGGGGCATTTAATAAATATTTTCTAAATAAAATAAAGAAATTAACATGCTTTCATGTTTTAGGAAATCACAGTGTTAGCTTAGTCATATTCCCTCCAAAATTTCAGGGAATTATCTCCATGAAAATGTTGTCTGTAAGCTATGAGATTGATTTTGAAATTGAAGAGATGAGACTTGAGCAAAGCCCAGGTGACAGCTATTGGGTAGGTATTTGGCACAATTTGCAAAGATATTTCTTTTCCATGGAGAGTGAATGAGAATCCTTGGGTAATAATTCAGAGTTATTTAATAGGATTATTACAAAAATATATGTGATTTAAGTGTGTCTGTAGGCTCAAACTGCTGCAATTTAATACACTACTGCCTGAGTAAAGCTTTATCTTAGCTAATATGGCTAAAGAAAACAGTCAATGAAAGGAAACAGTGAGATTTTTCTTCAGAGAGACATTAGTAGATATTAGCTGCTTTCAAATTCTTGGGTACTGAGTTTTGTGTTCAACATAAAGGCAAGTGAGATTCTTTGTATCATATCTTTTGTGGAAATCTGAGAGCCAAACCTTTGCTCACACTCTTGCAGCCTATTTTAAAAAGAACCACTCTTTTGTAGAAGAACAATTCCTTATTTGTGGATAAAGATGCCAGAAGTTGTAGTGACCAGCCAAGGTGAAAAGCTCCATGTGACTCAAGGTTTAGAGTCTCTTGTCTAGGCTGTAGTAGTTAAAAGCCATCTCGGTGACTGCAAAAACTAGCTGTATTGTCCAATACAAGCTGGTGACCACAAAGTTAAGAAGACTGAAGTTCTCCTGAATGTTTGTGTTCCCCCAAAATTCATATGTTGAAGCTCTAACTTCCAGTGTGATGTGATCTGGAGGTGGGACCTTTGCGAAGTAATCAGGTTGAGATGAGGTCACAAGGGTGGGGCCCCCATGGTGGGATGAGTGCTCTCATACAAAAAGGAAGAGACACTTGAGAGCTCCCAACACCTCTCTCTCTCCCTCTTTTTCATGTGAGGACATCCCATTGAGAAGGTAGCCATGTGCAAACTAGAAAGAGGGCCCTTACCAGGGACAAAATCTACCAGCCCCTTGATGTTGGACTTCTCAGCCTACAGAACTGTGAGAAATAAATGTCTGCTCTTTAAGTCACCCAGTCTATGATATTTTGTTATGGCAGCCCAAGCTGACTATAACACCCCCATAGACTTGACTTAATGTATTAGTTTCTTAGGGTGACCTTAACAAAGTACTGCAAACTGGGTGGCTTAAAACAATAGAAACCTATCATCTCACAGTTGTGGAGGTAGAAGGCTAAAATCAAGGTGTCAGCAGGACCGGGCTCCTTCTGAAACCTGTAAAAAATCCTTCCTTGCTTCTTCCTAACTTCCTATAGTTTGCTGGCAATCTTTGGCATTCCTAAACTTGCCACGCCACAGCTTTGATTTCTGCTTTCATTGCTCCCTCTGTCTCTGTCCTCATGGTCATCTTCACATAAGGACATCAGTCACATTGGATTAGGACTTCAACCTATGCATGACTTCATCTTAACTAATTTTATCTGCAACAACCTTGTTTTCAAATAAGGTCACATTGCAAGGTACTGGGGATTAGGATATCAACACAGTGTTTCTTTGCCAGGGTGTGGGATGCACAATTCACAACCCCTAACGCTTAGTAAGACCTACAGCAGCTTAAAGTTTACTCTCCCTGGCCCTGCCAAATGCTTTTGTCTCCAGGTGTTAAGATGAGCTCCAGTATTCTACTCCTAGTTTATTTTTCAAATAATAAAGAAAAAAATTTCTCCCTATACAAGTTCTGAAGTAATAAAAAATAAATATAAAGGATTTGGTTGGCATTTGGAGGTAAAACAAAGCTTTCTTTTTAAACTGATAAAATCTTGGCTGGAAGACATAGTTTCTATCTATGTGCAGGGGGGCTTCCTAATACTGAAGCCCAGAATTCAATTTACCCATCCAGTGGCAGACAACCACAGCACACATCCTTATTAATCATCCTTATTAATAAGGATGACCAGAAGTTCTATTCTTGCTTTCGTAGTTTGTCAAGGGGCCCACTGACAGATCCCACTTTCAGGTTATTTCTCACATCCTGGAACTTATGGGTGATCAGAGATCATGTGATATCACAAGTAACCATCATGGCTAATCAGTGTAACAGTAACAGTGACACAAACAGGAGATGTGAACAGAAGATGCCATTTGGATTTATCCTGATTTGAATAAATATCTGAATATTCAGTTTCAAATTATGGGCAAGTATTCAACATTGAACTTGTGTTAAAACTCTTCTTACCAAATTCTGAAAATATGACAGTAGAAAAGATGGTAGAAGTGGCATAGCTTTTAGATCTCCTCGAATCCCCACATAAAAAAAGACAGTAAAATTTAAAAAAAGCAATGGGCAACATTTACAACACAACCAAGTGACAAGGTACCAACTAATCCACAAAATATAAACCACTAAGAGCCATAAGATCTGTGCATTGTCAGCATCTGTGCAGGGGAAAGCAGAAGGAAGCCACAGGGACAAATAACAGCCTCACAATGAAGGATCCCAATATGACCATTCAGCAGGTATGGGGAGGTGGGGGCCAATGTGAGAGCAGCAGCAGGAACAGGGCTGGGTTTGCCCTCGACCAGCAGGAGAGACAAGGGGCCTGGGGTGAGCTCAGCTGCACCAGCTTCCCACTTTCCTGACCAGGCCCCACACTCAGGTAAAACAGTGGGAGCTGAATCAAAATGGACGTAGGAAAGAACAAGAGATGAAGAAAAAAGAAGGTATAGATGAAAGTGAGGCAGGCAAATAGAATAAGAAAAATTCAGAAAAAGAAATCACTTTATTTTATGTTATTTTTAGCACTACCCAGAAATAATTGGAATTGTTTGGACAAAATCTCCTTCTAAGAATCAGGAAGATGAAATTCACATGAGTAACTGAAAATGTCATGGCCAAATCCCATATAAAGATAGCATGTGTTTTCAATAAAAAGTCCTATTTGGGAATTTTTTACATCTTATAAGGATGCATTAAATTATCATTATTACCACCTTAAAATTTCACGAGGAGGGAAAAAAAATTCAAAATCTTGATAAATTACTTTCAATTCTGTCATGCAAAATGGAATACATTGTTACAAGCAAATGAAGTATTTAAAACATATCTTAATTTTACTAATAGAATTTCAAAACTATAACTACATAATTTAAATTATTACAATAATTTTACAGGTTGCATTATTTTTCAGATTGATTCTTGATTCCTAAAAGTTTTTAATGGCAATATTTGGTTTTGGCCTTGGCTTCAGCCAAATACTGCTTTTAATTTCCATCCCTTTAGCACTTGGAAAAATATATATATCAGTGCATCAGTAGTAACACACTGTAAGATTATGGTCTGGAGGAGGAAGAGAGAACTTGGATTCTCAGTGGGCTGACTCCTGTCAAACAGAGAGTGAGAGAAAGGGGTTGGGCTGCACACCCTCATTCTCTTTCTGATCACCAATCAGATTAAGTCTGTATCAATTATCTACTGCTGTTGAAAAACCACCTGAAAACTTAGTGGTTACAACCACCATTCTCTCTGTTCACAATGTCAGCAGTTTTCACGGGGCCCATTTGGGAGGCCATTCTTCTGGTCTTGTCTGGGGCACACATGTAGCTGCAGCCATCTGCAGCTCACCTGGGGCTGGAGAGTGGAAAGTGGGTAGAAACCCACATCTAGTGATTGCTTTTGGCTTTGGGCTGGGCCCTTTCCATGCAGCCTCTCATCATGAAGTCTGGGCTTCCTTATGTAGTGGCAGCACACAGGGTTGAGAGCAAGGCCACTGGAGGGTGAGAGGTTCTGAAGCCACAGCCCATCACTTGCACACATACCGGGGGTGAAAGCAAGTCACAGTGCCAGCCAGATGGAAAGAGTGGAGAAATTAATTTCACCTCTTAATGGGAGGAGTGCCAAATCCACATTGTAAAGGGCCTGTGGAGGGAGGAATTATTGTGACCACTTTTGGAAACAATATTCCACAAAGTCCATCTTCCTCTGATGGACAGATGAGTAAAGGGGTAGCGTGCAAGGCAAGGGTGCTCTCTCCATATGGAAGGACACAGGAGTAAGGGAGAGGTGTCTATTTTTCCCACTCACCCAAGAAACAGATAATAATGATAAATAGAGGGTTCTTATGAAACACATAAAACCCCACTCCTTCCAAGACCAGAAGGAAAACAAAACAAAACAAAACAATGCAACCTTACCTGCAAGTAGCAATTACAGTCATTGACAGAAAGTGACATTAGTAACATTACTCTCTTCTTATATCTTCAAACCTTTAAGCACATACTCAATATATTGAGTAGCGACTTTGAATTCAAAAATATATTGAAACTATAGATTTGTAAACTCTATATAGTTATAGATATCTATTGAAACTATAGATTTGTAAACTATATATATATATATATATATACACATAAGCCAAAAATCTATATATATTCACACACATATATTTTTAAATTATATATATATATATATATGTATATACACACATATATATGCACACACATATTTTAAACCCTGGCATAACTCAAGAAAGTTCAAACACATTTTTTGCTTGATTTAAAGAGAAAGTCAAAGAATATACTGAACAGTGAGATGAGATTTTCATATTACAAAGTTTATTGTTAAATATCAGCATAATTAAAAAACGTTTCAAACTCAGTTTTTCTCCTTAGGGCTTTACAAATGGAACAGAGTCCTCTCTATTTTCAGATGGCATCATACCAAAGGAGAGAGGAGATGGAGATTTCTAACCACGATTCATTTTGCCTCTGAGGCCACAGGGCTTCTTGCTAATAAAAAAGGCTGCTAGCCCATCACAACCCTGCGGATTTTGGTGCTGATGAGTAAAAGGGAAAAATGACACCTGCGTCATAGGCAGTGGCTAATGAGACAGGAGAATCGCGGCCAGTGAAGGAGACAGCTTCAGTGAGCAGCAGCCTGTGAGTGTGCATTTCCAAGGAATCCAAACAACTCTGTGGCAGCCAGGAAGTCCACTCGCAATGGCTCTAACCATTCCCTTCAAGAAAGCCCAACACTCACGGAGCAAAACTGGACCCACGTATGGAAATGAGTCTGTCATGAATACCAGGCTTCAGTACATGCACTCCTTGGAGCCATGGATTGGGTATGGTACAATCTAGTCACAGCTGGGAAAGGAGCTGGTGCTGCCTCTGTTATGTGTTTTTATCTCTTTACTCTGAATCAAGGAAACTGCAAAGTGGAAACACAGAACCCAAAAGAGGAAATGGAAAAGCCAGAGTGGCACATAATTCTTGCCCTCTCTCTGTGGGTTCTCCCTGCAGTGAGCTCCAGCTCAACCAGGATGGAGCTAGAGAGAAGGAAAGATGCCCAAACGGAGCTTCTGGTATTTGGGGGTTGTTTACATGCTGGAATGTCACAGAAAGACTATCTCCACCTACAGTTTCTGTTCCTTTTCACTTATGGTAATAATGGGCAGTGAATCTCCCTCCCTCCCTCCCTCTTTTCCTTTCCTCTCTCCCTTCCTCTCCTCCTTCCCTCGCTTTTTCTTTCTTTTTAGATTTCTCATTACTGTTCACTATGAAACTTGGTAAAAACAACCATGACCATGATGGAATGTTGTGAAAACTGATCATACAAACTGGGTCATTCTTGTGACATCAAACTAACCCAGAGTATAGAAGCCAGGAGGGAAGAGCACTCAGGGCACATAACATTGCTCCAAGAATGTCACTCTCTGTAAGCCTGGCTGCTGAAACTGCCTGCTGTCATCTGAAACCAGTTTTACCTAATGGCTACTGAAACAACGTGCTGTGATTCTAAGAACAGTTTTACCCACCACTTTCACCACTTGCCACTCAGAGCATGTCAGCCCCCCAGAAACTTACCAGTGCCAATGAATTTTCTGGAAAAACAATGCACACCACTTCTCCTTTTAATAAAACTTCCAACCTTCTCTTTGTTTTTCAAACATACCAAAGACTACCTAGTCTGTGGGGTCTGTGTGTATGCTCTGACTTACAATGCTTGAATCTCATAATGTTAAATTTAGATAGTCATCTCTACATAATTTATTTGACTTACAATGTGACGGATACCCACACAGCTCAGGGACAAAAAATCAAACTCTTCTTCTCTGCTATTTACCACTTCACTTTTGACACCAAACGTGTGCGTTTTTCTCTTACATTAAGCAATTTTCCAACTCTTGAGACACCAAGTGTGTATCCTTCAATTCAATTATGATGCCACCCAGACAGAGTTAGGGCAGACCCCAAAGGTTAAGGGCTCAGTCCCACAAGACTGCCTCCTATTTCAGAAACGAGTTGAAAGTTCCAGGTTGTGACCTGTATTTCTGACCAATTGGCTATAAATTAGGCTTTCTCATGACCCCCTCCTAGGGTCTGATAATTTGCAAGAACAGCTCACAGAATTCAGATAGAGTTCTTTATTTACTATTACCGATTTATTACAAAAGATATTCTAAAGGATAAAAATAAACAGCCAGATGAAGAAATGTATAGGGCAAAAGATGGGGGAGGGGCAGGGAGCTTCCAGGCTCTCTCTGGGCATGCTACCCTCCCAGCATGTATTCACTAAGCCAGGGGCCCTCCAATCTCCATTGATTAGGGTTATTGTGGAGGTGCCAGGATGTAGGCATGATTGATTAAACCAGAAGCCATTGGTGGTTGAATTCAATCTCCATTCCTTCTTCCCTCCCCAGAGGTGGGGTAGCAGGTATAGGGGCTGAAATTTCTAATCTTCTTATCATATTGTTGGTTTCTCTGGCAGTCAGCCCTCATCCTGAAGGTATCTAGGGGCTTTCACCCACCAGTTATCTCATTAATATAAAACAAAAAGATACTCTTACCACTCTAGAGATTGTAAGGATTTTAGAAACTCTGGTATCAGAAACCTGAGTCTAAGACCAAAATAGCAAAAGATACTCCCATCACTCCATCATATTGGGAAGTTATGAGAGTCTATAAGCTCTGTGCCAGGTACCAGCAGCAGAGACCAAATATGTACTTCTTATTATGCTACTGGAACATTCAAAAAAGCCATTTTGACCATGAAAGATGTAGGACACGTGATTCAGAATATCTTCTTAAGGATGTGAGGAGTTCTGAATTTTGCATGTCTTTTATTTTGTATATGTTAATGTGCATATGTAAATCTGTGCACACACACATATAAACTTTCAAAAATATTTGTGAATCTTTGAGAATCATAGCAAGACTGGGTCCTCAGAAATATCAGTATTTTAGTTTAACTTTTTTTGGGTACATAGGGATTTGTATTTATGGGGTACATGATATATTTTGGTACAGGCCTGTAATTTATAACAATCACATCATGGAAAATTGGATATTCATCTTGTCAATTGTTAATTCTTTGAGCCACAAATAATCTAATTATGCTATTTTAGTTATTTTTAAATGTACAAATAAATTATGATTGAGTATAGTTCCTGTGTTGTGCTATCAAATACTATTTTATTTTACTTTATTTTTTTGAGACGGAGTCTCATTCAATTGCCCAGGCTGTAGTGCAATCGCACCATCTTGGCTCACTGCAACTTCTGCCTCCCAGATTCAAGTGATTCTCCTGCTGCAGCCTCCTGAGTGGCTGAGATTGCAGACATGCACCACCACACCTGGCTAATTTTTTTGTATTTTTAATACAGATGGGGTTTCACCACGTTGGCCAGGCCAGTCTTGAAATCCTGACCTCAAGTGATCTACCCACCTCTGCCTCCCAAAGTGCTCTGATTACAGGCATGAGCCACTGGGTCCAGCCTTATTTATTCTTTCTATTTTTTTTTTGTACCCATTAGCCATCCCCACCTTTCCCCACCCACCCACTGCCCTTTCTCTGATAACCATCCTTCTAATCTCTATCTCCATGAGTTCAACCGTTTTGAGAAAAATCAGTATTTTGATATATTCCATTTTATTTCTGAAATCATCCTCATAAAATTAATAAAACTAAACTACTAGGTTTTTAACAAAATCATAAAATTTGAATAGAGGCATAGCAGCTTGCCTGTACACTGCTTAGAGATCGCCTAGCTCCTGTCACAAGGTCCTAACTTCTACAGATAACTTCTTTAACATAAGGAACCTCAGATTTCCATTCTGAGATTTTTCCAGATCTTGAATTCCAATGGGTTCACTGACACCAGCCAATCTGAAGACTCCCTCTGAGGAACCGACCCAGAGCAAGAATGGTTTCTATATCCTTATGATTTCATTCCTCACACCCTAACCATTCATCAGCTCCCAGCTCCTCACCCCCCTACTCAAAAAAATTCCCTTAAAAACCCCAGCCCAAAACTCCCCAAGGAAGCAGATTTGCGGTTACCTCCCACCTCCTCATGTTGCTGCCATATGATTACTAAACTCTTCTCTGCTGCAGCTCTCCTTATTCTGGTGTATTGGTTTGTTATCATGTAATGGGCAATTGAAACTGGTGGTCCTATAAAATTTCTTTACTGAAAAAAATCTGGTATTCTTTCTGCTTTTTAAGTAGCTTCATCATAGTGGAAAACTTTGCTTTTTACTTACAATGTAACCTTCAGCCAATGACAGATTTTAGTAATTGCTTTTGACCTGTTAAATAATTCTCTTCTGGGCTAAAGTTTATGTAGCACATATGTATCTAAAATAATGCCAGAGGAAAAAAAATGGCCCTAATATAAGAAGCTGGGAAAAGGTTGAAACTTCATTGGTCATGGAGGAGACTCCCACTTGATTAGATCATCCTTGTACAAGAACAGGTTCTCAGAGAAGCTGAAACTTGGCCAGCCTGGCAAATAGTAAAGCATCAGGGTGATAAAGTAGTGTTTTCTGGGGGTTTGTGTGTTCACTGCATGGGGTTATTTTCTAGTAATATTTCATTATAGAAACGTACAGTGCAAATTCACCAAAATCCTTACCTTCTTATGTTAGGCACAGTATCACATACTCTTGAGTCTGGCATGAATATCTTTAGTCTCCACCCCACTCTCTGGTCAACAGAGTCATCTATCTTAACTTAAAAAAAAAATAACAGTAATAGTGAATGTGCATGCCTCATTCCCCCTAAATAGGTTATATTCTTATCCTCCTTTAAGGCATGAGAAACTCAAGGCAAAGAGAGGCCAACTAACTTGCCCAAAGCCAAGCATTGATAGGTGGTTGTATTAGTCCATTCTCACACTGCTATAAAGACATACCGGAGACTGGGTAATTTAAAAAGAAAAGAAGCTTAATCAGTTCATGGTTCTGCATGTTATACAAGCTTCTTCTTCTGCAAAGGCCTCAGTAAACTTACAATCATGGCAAAAGTCAAAGGGGAAGCAGGCACATATTCACATGGCTGGCAAGAGACATAGAGACAGAGAATAGGGAGATGCTACACACTTTCAAACAACCGGATCTTGTGAAAACTCTATCACAAGAACAGCAAAGGGGAAGTCTGCACCAATGATTCAATCATCTCCTAGAAAAGTGAAAAATAACTCCAAAATCTAGGAAGGAGAATAAAACCAGTCACCCTGTGTGGCTTGGACTGGCTAGGAGCTGGGAGGTGAGTCCCCAGTACAAGAAAGGATGAGTGAGTATGTTTCTTTGGTTTACTTTCTCACTGGAGAAATGTACAATTTAGGCCATGGGAGAACGCAGTGACCCTCTCAATCCCTTAATCTAATGCAGAGAGCAGCTGGAAGACTGTGAGAAGGACTTGTTTCAGGGAGGAAACACACTCGACCCAGTTCACTTCCTGAAATCTAAGTGGTGACAGTAAGAACATATTGTTAATTGTATTAGTCCATTTTCGCACTGCTATAAAGACATGCCTGAGACTGGGTAACTTATAGAGAACAAAGGTTCAATTCACTCACATTTCCATAGGCTGTACAGAAGGCATGGCTGGAAAGGCCTCAGGAAACTTACAAGCAAGGTAAAGGGGAAGCAGGCACAAGTTTCAGATGGCAGAACAGGAGAGACAGAGAGGTAAGGAGGAAATGCCACACACTTTTTAACCATCAGATCTCATAAGAACTCATTCACTAACATGAAAACAGAAAAGGGGAAGTCTGCCCCCATGATCCTATCACCTCTTACCAGGTCCCTCACTCAACATGGGGAATTATAATTCAGCATGAGATTTGGGTGGCTATATAGAGCCAAACCATATTATTCTACCCCCGTATCAGAGGTGTGTGTACCAGAGCAGCTCAATCTTGAATAGGGGCTGGGAAAAATGAGGCTAAGACCTACTGGGCTGCATTCCCAGATGGTTAAGGCATTCTGAGTCACAGGAACAGATAGGAGGTCAGCGCAAGATACAGGTCATAAAGACCTTGCTGATAAAACAGTTTGCAGTAAATAAGCCCGCTAAAACCCACCAAAACCAAGATGGTAGCAAGAGTGACCTCTGATCGTCCTCATTGCCATACTTCCACCAGCACCGTGAGAGTTTACAAATGCTATGGCAATGTCAGGAAGTTACCCTATATGGTCTAAAAAGAGGACATGAATTATCCACCCCTTGTTTAGCTTATCACAAAAATGGGCAACCAGCAGCCCTTGGGGTTGCTCTGTCTATGGAGTAGCCATTATTTTATTCCTTCACTTTCTTATTAAACTTGCTTTCACTTTATTCTAGGAACTCACCCTGAATTCTTTCTTGTGCAAGATCCATGAACCCTCTCTTAGGGTCTGGATCTGGACCCCTTTTTGGCAACACTGGCCCCTCTCAAATTCCATGTCCTTTTCACATTTCAAAACAAAATCACACCTTACCAACAGTTTTCCAAAGTCTTAAGACATTCCAGCATTAACCCAAAAATCAAAGTCCAAAATCTCATCTGAGAAAATGCAAGTCCCTTCTGCCTATGAGTCTGTAAAATAAAAAACAAGTTAGTTACTTCCAAGATACAATGGGTGTCTAGGCATTGGGTAAATGTTCTCAT